TTGTCCCAGTTGTGAGTGCTGAAAGTGAAGCCCATGAATTTGTTGTGCATGTTGTGCCCAGAATTATTCATTTGCACTTCAGTGCAGCAAACATTCACAGGGCTGATGATCAGAAAGTTGCAGCTCCTGCTTTAGGGGCTCGTTTTCTTCCTTTCTGGGTTCGTTAATTATATATGCTTTTGTCAGTGGGTTTGTATTAGCCTGTCTTGCGGTCAGCGATCTTTGCACCTGTACATAGTTGGCGGTCTTGTGAGTATGGCCTTGCCTGGGTTCATCTACGGGCTTGTTGGGGCTAGTGCAGGGCCTTTCGGAAGTCCGCTTTTGCAGATGCGAGTTCGGCGTCGACATCCTCTTTTACACTAGCCTAAACGGTCCTTGAGCGAAGAGGTTGTTTGACCCCTGGACTTGCCCCCACACTACGACACTCTCGAAGCTTAGTTCCCTGCAGTGCGACATAGTCAGCGAAGCGGGTGGGAAAAATCCTAGCAGGCTCATGGAAGAGCAGACGCCCTAGAAACCATCGGGGTTCCATTTTTTGAGGCTACTTCATTTCTCAAGCCCAGCAAAGCCCAAACTCCGAGCTCCTTGAAGGCTTTCTGTGCTGCCCTTGCGGGACTGCTGTGGAGGCTGGCTGGCTTCGGCGGCCTTGCGTTAGAGGAGCGGGTGGGGTCCCTCAAACCTAGGCAACAGCGCAAAGTCAACAGTGCACAGGTAGGGTTCCCATGGTTCCCTCAGCCCTCAACATGCGTTTTCAATTTCGTAGTTACTTCCAATATAGTTTCGCCTGGTTGAAGTGGCCCAAAGAGCGCTCAAAGTTGTCAGAAATGAATGTTCCACTACCTGCTAAACCCCAAGACCCGGACCTTAGACCCTACAACCTGAAAGCCCCATGCTCCAAAAGTCCAAAAGCCCTCTCTTAATTGTCTAGTAGCCCTCGACTTCGCCCGATGTATGAGCCTGAAAGCCTGGAAGGTTCGATCTTCCAAGGAATGAGACTAAGAATCCGATGGAAGGTTCGAAGGCTTTGTTTGGGGGAGCTCGAACAAATTGTATTTACTTTGCGGATACCTGTAATTATACATCGTGTGACACCGTCGCGACTCCAGCTTAGACCTTACCCACAAGGCTGCAGCACGATGCGCTGACACACCACACCACAGCAAACACACATATGTGTGTATATATATATAGATATAGATATAGACATATAGATACAGACATTCTGTATGTAGTTCTATACGTGTTTGTTTATTTATCTGTGCATTCATATACAACTTTTGTGCATGTATACTGCACGTATATTATAATTATAAATATACACATTTGCCATGGGTCTGTTTGTTTGTATCGCTGTTTGTTTGTTTGTTTGTCTGTCTGCCTGTCTGTCACTGTTTGTCCATATGCATATGTGCACATGCGCACATGTGTATATATGTCTGTATATGTATATTCGTAATTGCGTACACTCTTGAAATACACACATAGACACAAACAAAGACAGGAACAGACAGAGAGACTGACAATGACGTACATTCATTCATGCATTCATTCATTCATTCGTGCATACATGCATACATGTTTAATGCATATACAAATTTGTAGTATATGTATATATCTATATATGAGTGGGCCGCGTAGTATCCCCCCTACTTTAGCCTACCTTTCTGCCACAATAAACATGTGAACCTAGGCAAAATCTGCAGATTCCAAACCTCCTCTTCAAAGTTCCCACGGCCCCACAACCCTGAACCCTGAACAGCAGGAGCTGGTAGTTGTAGTGCAAGGAAAAGGCACTTGTTTATACCACGAGAGCCACCAGTCCAGCCATCCTCGGCATGCACACCCACCACGGCCTCGTCCATGACGACGACCTGGTGTTTGCCGCCGATCATGCGAGCGTCCAAGTTGGTGAGAGCACACCCCAAAGCTTTCTGATAGACATCCCGCCGTTTTGCAAGCGCCCGTCGCGCAATGTTGCCGTACCCGGCAAGGATCTCGTCAACGATGGACGAGAAACTTCTTCCCAACCGTAGCAAGTGGATCGTGTGCAAGAACGGGAGCCAGCTGTTCACCGGAATGTCCGTCAAGAAACCAGAAACATTCAGTTGGGTTTCCATATGCTTGTGCCCAGCCTGTTGCCATGTCCAGCCGTACGTAGTCCAGCCTCTGGAAGTTCTCATCTCGAACCGTGCTGGTTTGCCGCATTTGAGCCACTTCTTCACGCCGAAAGCAATGCCATATTTCAAAAAAATCCCGACGGCGCGCAAACGCAGAAATACCAGATGATCGTTGCCGTCAAGTATTCGACGATGCAGGATGTGTTTTTGAAATGCAGTGTCGGTACTGAAGCACTCCTCATTGAGTTCTGCCAGCCACGCTCGCCAACTGCATTCCGCCAGCACACAGGCATGCAGGCCATCTTCACGAGTGAGCTTTGGCATGACTTACATATAGAACACAAATGAGCTTTTCATAAACGGACTGAGCATCAACCGAATGAAGTACCGAGCACTAAACACATGTCACATATGTCCCCATGAGTTCCGCCATGTCATCTTTAGTTCGATGATGTGCTTGAGACAACCATACACGACCATAGCTTCAGTTGGTGATTCCTTCTGCGACACTTCCAGAGATGCATACGCAGTGCCCAACTGTTTTGCAGCAGAGTGCAATTGCAATGAGTTTACAGTACGGGTAGTGCCAAGATCTCGCGCGAATAATTCCACATGGGCAAGCTGAACCTCTGCACAAAGCAGACATCGTACCCTAGCATCAAAACCTCTTGACGCGAAGATATCTTCGTGGCAGAACTACGTGTAAGCATGATCATTCAGCGGCGTCCTTCAAATTGTCAAAAGTGAGACATCGGCGATCAATCTTCCGGATTTACGCTGACAGCAGGCAAAACCTTTCCTTCATCTACCACATCCATACGGTCATCGTTGGTAGTTTCATCCGCCGTCGTAGACAGGCGTTGCCGCTTGACTGGGGTAGATGGTGGAGTAGGATCCAAGTCGATAACGGCGTTAAAGTCCGGGTTGGAGATCACAGGCGAGGCGCAACATAGTATAATAATAGACGAAGCCAATAGAAAACACACAACAATCAATGGTTTACATAATTTCGGAAATAGATAGAAGTAGAATGTATGCCGGAGTATCGCCGCATTGGCGGCAAGGACCGTGCTTTGCAGGGCAAACCCGTAAACCATTAATCCAATCCTTTCGCCCTATACCACTAAACCAATAAACCGTTAAACCATTAAACCAATACTTCTGCCCGATACCACTGAACCATTGGTCTAATGGTTTAGTCGTTTTGGGCAAAAGTATTGGTTTAATGGTTTAGTGGTGAAGGATTGGTTTGATGGTTTATTGGTTCAGTGGTATAGGGCAATAGGATTGGTTTATTGGTTGAGTGGTGAGGCGGTCTATTGGTTATAACCCACCATAAAGGTAACCATAGACAGAAGAGAACATCTGCATGATTCAGAAATTCCAAGCTGAACACAGAGGAAAAGCAGGGGGGTATAGCATTACCCATGTATGTATATATATATATATATGTATGTATATATTTATATACGTACATACACAGATTCAGCTCGCACGGAGCTGGAGGCAAAACATATGGATGGATCTCTGTTGACTTCTTTACGATTCATATTTTTTCTCTCAAGTCTTTGTTCCTTCCTGCATTAACTACACTAGCGTTCAAGGCCCCCCCCCCTCCAAAAAAACACTGCGCGTCAATCGCGAGTTTGCACATGCGAACCATAAAGCTGCAACTCTTGGGCCCGTATTGGCCGCGCAGGAGTTTGCCTCCCTCCTCGCGACGGTGGCCGAGAGCATAGCAGCGGCTTGGGCGGCTTTTACTGGCCGCGTTAAGATGCAAACTTTAGGGGTAGATCCTAGACGCCTCGCGAGTCGCCGAATGGTACTTTCCGTTTGCGTTGACTGGGCGAGCAAGGCTGGGAGCCTTGTTTCTGCCGAGAAATTCAAGCTGCTACTGGCTGCATCGGTGGTGCAAGGCGCTTGCCAAGCACTCCTGTTTTCAATTATAAGGAAATCAGGGAATCAGGGTTGTTTCTGCTTCGGTGATTCAGGGTTGGAAGGTTGGTTTCCAGATTTCTGGTTTAAGGTTAAGGTTTCCAGATGGTGTTGAGGCCAGACGGGGGCTCCAGCCTTTGGGGATTGTGGTTTCATGCCTTGAAGGTGTGGCAGGCTGGATTTAACGCAGGCTTTGAAATGAGGTTCCCGGAACTATGTCATAGTGTATATGCAGCAAAAAATACACACACATACATATATATATATATATGTAAATATATAAATATATAAGTATAAGAATATATAAATATATACATATATGAATATATTTATATGTATGTATGTACGTACGTATGTATGTATGCATGTATGTATGTATGTATATACATATACATGTATATATACACGTATATATATATATATATTTTTATACACATACAAATTAGATCATTGAGGGTGTAAAGTTTAACCAGGGAGGAAAAGTCTGTGACAATAACAGGACCTTGCTGATACATTTGGGTACTCCAAAGTTCACAAACTTCAAGGGACAGCTTTAACTCAGACTCTGGGCCTTAAAGCGGGTTTTCTGGCTAGGTGGGGTACGGTTTAAGGGCTTTTAATGCCAAAACGTGACTCTGGATGAATGTGTGTGGCGACTACGGCTATCGGCCATCAGTACCAATGCCACGGATAGGCTTGACCCCCGAAGCCTAAAACTTCAATCTCCTACTGTGCAGGGCCGCGGGGCTTAAAGCAAGTTATACATAAGTTATGACCGGGTTGCAACGCTCTTGCAACCGTGTTACAAGCACATATAACTGTAGCTAAGTTCGTGGGACTTTACTTTTGTTGTAATTTCTTGTAAGGCATATAAGGCGCTTACATTGTTTTGACTACAATATGTTAGGAAAAGTTAACATAAACACTGTAAACAAAAACACCAGAATAGGAAGCAGGGGTCTTAGCGAGAAGCACCTTTTGCAAGTAGTCGTTTCTTGGTAAGGCAGCTTATGTGTCACTGTGAGCCTCCAGTGGGCGGGGGGGAAGCAGGGCGGACAATCAAAAGCTATGTTCATATTTGTCATGACATGTGCGTTCAATGTCGGGAAACCCACGCGTGACACTGTGCGACACTGCGCGGCACTGCGCGTAACAATGGTGCGGATATACGGCCAAAACCCGCGACACTGCAGGGCAGGAGTGACCGTTGCGCACGGTCCTGTGCGTGCACAGAGCTCCCCAGAGGACCCGACACTCGTCAGTCCTTGCTCCCAAGAGAATATCCGTGTCGTGGCTTGGGGGCTCCAGCTGCAGCTGTGTCCCTTGCGCAAGGAAACCGCCAAGGCCCCAGCTGTCTGCCCTGTTTTTAACCTCTCTGAACAACTACTTCGCCAAAACCTTCGACACGCAGCAGGAAAAAACTCTAGAATAAGTTAACTTAATTTGCAAAAAGATACAAAAGCTTAGCTCGTATTTTCAACCCCACTCCTAAGTCTTTTTATCCTCCGGTTACATCAATAAATCTTTGCTAAGTACAGTATACATAACTTCGTTTAAGCCTCGAAGCCCTCTACAGTAGGAGTTATCACATGTCCCAGCATTTTTGGGTTGATTGCCACACGTAGTTAACCTCGGGCCTTGTGGGTTGGGATAGCGCCGATCGAGACATGCTTTGCTGGTCCACGTGCTCTGCTGGTTTACCCGACCCGCGTGCAGCTAATGTGCTGCCCTTCGAACCAAACCTACTTCGCCTCTGGTCCGATTCGCGAGAGTACACAACCACTCCCGAAGGGAAGTTGTGAAGGCCAACGTGCCGTCATCCGACCAGTAACCTCGCCAGGCTTGTCCCAGTTCTGAGTGCTCAAAGCCCAAACACCTCAATCCTGGCCCCTAAGCTTTCAAAGCTTTACGCTTGGTCCCAAGTCTGTCCCCAGGCAACAACGCACCCGTTCTTCGGCAAGTGCTCCTTCATCTCTGCAAGGCCAGCGGTCTCGGTAGACCCTCAGCCTGGAGCCTCAACCCGCCACAGGCGGAGCCCTGCCTCTCACTGGCAGCCCTTCGCTTGGCTGCAGTGGATCTCAGCTGGTCCCCCACCCAAGCGCACTTGTTTGGGGGCAGTTTAAGGAACGGCTTCTGCAATTTCAGACATCGGGTGAAGGCGCATGGTTTCGGGTTGAAGGGTTCAAGGTTGTGTCTATCTTCGTATTATTATGTGGCTCGAGGTTGAGATTGATGTTTTGCAACGGGTCTCCGGTCTGGGGCTCAGGTTTGGAAAGCGCGGGGATTCGCAGTCCTGCTTCGCAAATTATAGAAGGTTCAGACTTTGAGTTTTGCAACAGTCTAGACTAAAGCTCTACAACCTAAACCTTTTCGTCAGTGCACTGTGGGCAAAAGGCTCACACGGCTCCAATCCTGAAGCCAAGCCCAAGATCATTATCTGATTGCGATTACAAGCCGCAGTGCCTCTATAACAATGGTCAAGAAGGTAGTGATCAGAGACCCAAATCATAATCCGTCAGAGCTCTGCCTTTCCCAAAACTTGAGCAGGTACCTAGAGCATCAGCCGATCTGGCGCCAGCCGTTGCCGGGCCTCGCAGCAACAGCCGATGCTGTGATGGAGGCTTTCACCGGGTGGTTCAAAGGCTACGGAAACCCATTTGTCTGGAGACTGAAGGCTGTGATTACCCGTCCCCAACACAGAGAGTTTGGGTTAAACTCGGGGTGGGTTTAGTGCCTCAGTTTGGTCAGCCTCAGTAGAGTGGACTCGGTGGATTTCCTGCCCTGGGCCTGGGCTTGTAGACTGCTCCTGGTGAAGATAAAGCGCTACATAAGACCCTCACCGATTTGCGGAGCTTCGACACCGAGGCTCCAATGCTCCGACAGAAGCTCTTGCGCTAGCTATTCACCAGGCCTGGTGCGCCTCGGCACCGCCCGTCTCCACGCTGGAATGGGAATCTTTCCTGGACACAGTGACTGGGTAAGCAGTGGGTTGAGCGCGGGGTGCCCTTTTCGTAAACACCATAGTATTCTTATCATACTCCTGCAAGGAACCCTATCAACCCCCAAACCTGATTCCTGAGTCCAAGGCCTTGTTGGCCCAGCCTGCCGTTCAGATCCTGAAATGCCAGTAGTATAGTGTCAGAGTCAGAGGAGCAGTGTGAAGGCTTTTGGGCTTGGGCGTTCACCGTTGAAGCATTGCCGCAACAGCGGGACAGTGCGTCCACACATGCCTCCTACACCGGTAAAACATAGAACGTCAGGCTCTCAGCACCTGGACAACCATGTCCAGGCTGTCCGTCACCATGAGCCACCAAAGGATGAGGGCAGGCACTTATTTGACTCGCAGATGCTTCTACAACGCGCTGTCCTGCCCTGTGGTCCCACTGGATTGTGACACGTCATAGAAACCCGAGGTTTAAGACGCAGAGTTCAGATTTAAGGTGTATGGTTGCGCGAAGTTGATACTCTATAGCCTCCATTGTGCCACACCCTGGGCGACGCCTTTTCTCCAGACCTTAAACCCAGAGCCAACAGGAAACATCGCCAAACCCATCGCCCGAAGTTCTGAACCCATCAACAAGCCCGGAGGCACAGCACCGACTCGAGTTTGAGAGGTTTACTCGATTCCGAAAAACCGAGACCTGTCCTCGGCCTCCTAAGGCAAAGCAGCTGCTTTCAGCCTGCGAGGCTCCCCCAGTCTTCAAGTCAACATTAAAGCCCGTCCTTGGGTTTATAGGGTTTAGGTGATCTACGACAGGGATAGGGCAGGGCCAGGGTCTAAAGGACGGTTTAGTCTTCTGGGACGGGGTGCTTGGGATGTGTGGCCAACGTATGGCTCAGTGGCTGTTTCGGGTCTCATTTCGAGGGCTCGGTTTGCGCTCTCTTGACCTGTGGCCAGGAGTCGGGGGGTGCAGAGCGTGGGGTTTGAGAATTTGGTGTCTGGCGTCTGCGGGTTTAATGGATTTTGGAGGAGCGTTCTGACCTTGCGTTCAGTCGAAACTAGGTGGAGGGCCCTCTACTGCTTTTGCCAGGAGGACACACAAGTTTTTATCTGCATTTAAGTTTCCGTGGTCATGCAGCTGCTCGTGTGCCATGAAGGTGTAAGTGCGCACAGCATTCAAGGATACCTGGTGAAGCCACGCCCACTGCACCTCAGTTTTACTATCCTCGATCCCTCACACCTTGGATCCGTGCCTGTCTTTGCGAGTGTTCGTGTCGAAAACCGCAAGGCAGCAGCCTAGAGGCTAGACCCTGTGCGAAGTACGTCGGGCTTGAAAATCCCAAGCGGTAAGACCAACCGGCCCTTGTCAACATCCTCGACCCCCCCGCCCCCATGCACTGATCCTCACAAGCAGTTATAGCTCCTGTATAGCATTTGCTGTACTCAACACATTCGCAGCAACCCCCAAACCAAAGCAGACCCTGCAGAGCGCTTATGCTTGAACCTCGAAACCCCAAACCCTAACAGTGCAAACCTTCGAACCAAGAAACCGGAAGCCTTGCAACCAAAAACCTTTAACTTGACCCAACAACTACCCGCACAGGCATCGTGGCGCAGGGGTCAGGACGGTGCGCTGCGCTCTGCATTGCGCCGTCTCTGGGCCAAGGAGGTGAACCGTCGTAAAACTTTCAATCCAGAAGTCCAAACTAGCCCAAACCCTCGTCACTAGTCTTGGGGCGCTTGGGTCATGGCTGGGAAGTTTGTTACAAGAGTTTTCTCGGGAGGGACTCAAGCTTGGGCTTTCTAGGGGTTCTGGGTTCTCCTGTGGTCTATATGCCACGGCCGACATGTCGCCTCAGAACCCAACAGGTTGCCAGCACGACCGACCTGCCCACCTGGGCCTCGAATGATGGATAGCACTTCAATCGCATACGGTGTAGCAAACCTGTGCCTACCATGCCATCTCCAGAGCTTTTGTAAGGGACGATATTGGCACGGCTTTGGGGGTTGAGAGTTGTTGTTGGCAGCATGATGTACTGTAGGTTGCCCTAGTATTGTCCCCATACATTCCACGAAGTCAAGTCCTGAAGAACAGCGGTTTCGCAAACCACGAACACGCCGCAGTGCGACCCTCCGAAACCTGATGTCCCAAGCTCAAACTCCCCCCTAAACGCCTGGGAGCCAATTCGCGCGGATGAGTACGCACAGTGGACCATTAAGTCACTAGTATTCACTTACACATGTATGTATGTAACATAGAAACACGAATGTACTGATTCATACACGGGTTATGAAGAGTAATGCTGCTGACCTGCAGGCTCGCCCTGAGGCCCGAGTCGCCAAACCTCAATCCCAACACGTTAAAGAGTTAAGACCCTCAAGCTTTTCCACAACCGTGTCGAGCCAGCCTACAAGCTTCCCTGGACGTCTCGACGATTAGTGACGTCGCACCTTCACAATCGTCAGGCCACCAAGTCCTGCGGTTCTAAGTGCTACACCTTCCAGGCCCTCCACCCTAGACTTGTCCTTAAACCCCAAGCATCACAACAGGCAGATGGCCGACCTCAGCCGAAGGCACGTCTCGAAGTCGTGGCCCAGGCCTGAAGTCTTCGCGCGGAAGCACGAACTTTCTGAATGAAGAGCTCGAGGCTTTCGTTTCTTCGGTTCTAGGCTGTCTCTCATGCGGTGCACACTCCATGGCAGGGCCACTTCGCGCTTGGCGAGCGGGGAAGGGTTGCTCTCGCCTCGGCTGGAAGCCCAGAGCTGAAGTTTCCAAGTGTTTCGGCCCCGAAGCCTGAAACCTAAGACTTCATTTCCTAAACTGCTCGCCCGAGAGACTCGTGTAGGATTCGAAGTTGGGCATCTGCGTTCGTCATTACTGCATCTGCAATTGCCGTCGGCATGCAAACGGGGCAGTCTCAACTGTTCTTGGTTTTGTCATGGGTCGGGATTGGGTGGTTTGAAGCGTTATGCAGGGGTGTGGAGCTTAGCATTTCGGTCTTGTTCCAGTATCTGCAACTGGTACTACTTATACACCGTGACGCCAATCAAGGCATAAGTGCATTTTCCGGAAGCTTAAGCATCCAGCTCTGGGGAACCAAAACTGTCCAGGATCGGTTTCAGGCTTAGCTTGATAGTTAGTTTCGATCGCACTCAAAGTCATCTGGATTCACTTCTTACAGACATTTCCAGTGCGGAGTCAGTGCGGTAGCAGGGCTGCTGCTGTAGAGGTTTCGACTGCAGCATCCTTTGAAGGCATACCTCACCACTGGCACTGCAAGCTTGGAGCTTTGCTTTAAGCCTTCATCCGATTCCCAGCAGAGGCGGTTGCAGGCAGCATGCCAGGTTAAGGTTGAAGCGGCTCAAGCATCGCGGTGCTTGAGATCGGCGACCTTCTGCTTCACCTCAGACTTTGAAGGGTTTCAGGCATGCACAGAATTTGCTATTGGGAAGAAACATGATGCATTCTAGAACTCATTATTAGTAGCATCCATGGTAACACCCTTTGTCCATATAGTGTCTCTTGTAGTACTAATCGTGAGGCAGCAACAGCAACGGTAGAAGCCGGTCGGCGCGCTGAAGGTGTTGACGCAAAGCTTGCACTTTCTGCGAGCACTGGACATGGCAGAGGAGGCCCTTTATCGGAAGCCTTCGGTTGTTTGATAAATGCTTTACAAGCGTGTCGTTTTGGGGCCTGAGGGCAGGATGAGTCACGGCAATTTGCTAGGGGTCTGCGCAGTGTTTCAGTAAGGACTCTGGTTGGTCTGGTAATAACCTTTGGTGCATGTGGCTCGCAGATGCTCGGAGTAGCTTGGCCACGCCGGCCTGTCATGTGTTTTAAGAAACGACACCTAAAACATGAAACAATATGTCATCCAAGCATAAGGAATCTATCTAGTATTCTCCCTACTACCAGTACTAGCAACATCCGCATTTTCATGTAGGAAGGTGAATATTCGGTTGGTGTGCATGGCGGTGCTGTGTAAAGTTGCAATTGCATTGGAATTCCCTTGTTTCGTGGTTGACTTCGCAGTATCAGATGCTACCTGCTACCGTTCCAAGCATCATGATCGGAACTTGTCCGTCATTCCAGTTGTGACGAAAAGTATACGGCTTGAGAAGTGACAGTGAGGATGTGTCAGTGATGGCTGCATTTGTTGTTCATTGCGACGCTGGTACTCTCAATTTTCCCACTGCGGCCTGTGAGTTCGTAGCAGTTATGGATTAGACTTACTCTTGCAGACCATGCCAAGTGAGTGTATGCAGCGCCCCGTCTGATGCTCGTATGTACACACTGCACTAAAATGTTGTATATGTGCCTTGGAAGCACCAGCTTTGCGGCAGCATTTTTGAATGACTAATGGAGGTGGAGAAGATTAATTGCCGCATTGTGTTTATTGTCTCTCTGCGACGAACTAGTCTCTCAGAGACTAGTTCGTCGCAGTCTCTCCCATGCCATTGCCACCGCCATTCGTATTCACCACCTGCCCGCTGACTGCCAGGTACAGCTGGCCGCTGACACCTGCATGAGCCACTTGGTTTGAAGCTGGCGGTTTGGGTTTAGCAGCTAACCAATGGTAATCACAACCTGGCTTGGTGTCAAGGTGTCATCCCGGATCTCATCTTGAAGGATTCTTCGCCAGAGGCCGGAGAAGTTTGGGGTTTAGGGCTGCTGCTCAAAGTACTGCTCCTACTTACTGTACTGCTTACTACATACTTCTAGTAGTACGAGTACGCGTCCACCACGACGACGACGTCGACGACGACGACTACTATTACTATTACTATTACTATTACTATTGCTATTGCTATGACTATGACTATGACTATGACTATGACTATGACTATGACTATTACTACTACTACTACTACTGCTACTACTGCTACTACTACTACTAGTACTGCTACTACTACTGTTACTACTGCTAATACTGCTACTACTACCAGTTCTAGTACTGCTAGTGCCACTACTACGGCTACTGCTACTACTGCTGCTGCTACTACTACTGCTGCTACTACTACTACTACCACAACAACTACTACTACCACTAC